GGCCCGGCCCAGGGTTGCGGTGAGCCCGACTTGGTGGCGCCCGGCCGGGTCCCCGCGCTTGGACCGGTGGGGCGACGGCGTGGCCCCTCCCGGGCTGGAGCCTGCACCGGGAGGGGCGCAGCCTCGAAGCTGACATGATGCACTGCCCACCCAGCATAGCTCTCTGAAGACGATCGGGACAGGGTGGGCTCTCGGAGGGCATCTCGGAGGAGGTGACGGGCGACGTGAGTTCCCCGGGGGCAGAAGGAGCCTGACCCCCGAGAACCCCCATTGCTGACCTTGCAGTGTCGGGGGCACGCCGGGTGAGAGCGCTCTCTGAGGGGCGGGTGCGGGGCATTAGAGCTCGGTGGGGAGTTTTACGGGGATCTTGAGCACCTCACCGCTGCAGCTGTGGTCCAGGACCCAAGTTGCTTTTCCTACCCTCCAAAATACTTTTTGGCGCCGGTGTTCAAATTTGTATGTGGTTGAGCCAAGTCTGATAAAAAGCACTGGAGTTACTGGGTTGAGAGAGAGGGCTGGCGTCGGATCCTAGCCCCCTGGCCTGGCCACCCAGTTTTCTAATGTCTTTTCTATCAACCCATTTTGCTTTTCCTGTGCCAATTTTTCTTTCCCTCTCCCACCTCCCCTTTTTGGAACAACGTGGAAGTACCCGTTTTGCTATTGGGAGGTGGGTGGTTTCAGGGAATTGTTCCAGTAGTCTCACTAATATTTTTCATTAAAAAAAAAAAAATTGGACCGCACATTTGTTTGCTCTGAAAGTGAGTAAAAAATGTAGGGCAGCATTTATTTTTAAAAGTTCATATCAAGACACCCCTTTTTTTTGTTTGTTTAAATAGATTTGGTGAAATACTTTGTTTTAATTTCCCTTTTTATGACCTGCTGAGCATGATATGTTTTGGGGAGAATTTAATCAACATTTCTAGAGCAATTCCAAGAGAAGTTTCTTTACTTAATCACTTTATTCAGACTTTGTGTTCAAAATGGGATGTAGTAACTGGAATTAGATTTCTAGGTTGATAGGACTGTCACCTGCTACCTATAGAAGGGGAGATAAGTAACTTAGTCATATAATAGCTTTCTCTGCTGAAACTACCAAAGATGGTATTGTCTTTTCAACATTGCTAATCAGCGTCCATGTTAATACAGTCACAACTTGAACTTAATAACAGTAAACTTGTGTTAAGCATTACTGTCAACTTAATAGTAGTATCTAGACAAGTATCAGGTAGATAGTTTAATGGCTTCTTATGCTCATTGCCACAAAAATTATGAGAGGTTATTTTTTCTGCAAATGAGATAATGGAGTAATGTGTGCATCATAGGGCCAGGGACATGGTTATGTAGAAACTTATGCTAAATTTTATTCCAGGATGCAAGTGTGTATATCTAAAAAAAGTAACACTAGTGCTGTCTGTTGACAGACCCGAAAATTCAATTTCTTTAAGAAAAATAGGCCAGGTTTTTTTTTTGTATTTGAGAACTAATAATGAAAATTATGAATATGTAAGTGAATATCCCAGATGTCTAGAAAAGAAAAAGGATTTTTATTTTGACAACTCTACATTTTTCCCCATAAAGCCACCTCTAATAAGATATAATGCACTGTGAGTAGGATTTTGATTTGAAAAATAAAGCAAACTGCAAATGAAGCAAAGCTTTAAAATTTACCTTAGAACAAATGAAGAAGGATGACTTGTGAATTATGCTCCATATATTAGGCAATGAATCTTTGGGAGTTAGATCTCTGTGTGTGTGTGTGTGTGTGTGTGTGTGTGTGAGAGAGAGAGACAGACAGAGAGAGAGAGAGACAGAGACAGAGAGAGAGAGAGAGAGAGAGAGAGAGAGACAGAGCCAGAGCCAGAGAAAAGAGAGAGCAAAGGCTCAGAGGTGGAGATAAGTACAGCAGTGTCACCAGGGCTGACAAGGGGAGTGAGAG